CCCCTCCCCCCTCCCCTATTTAAAAAGACTTTGATTCCATTTTTTCATTTTCTCATAATTTTTCTTCTCCCTTATTTTCTTTCTCCTACCCCTCCCACTTCCCCTACACCTTTAGCCCTTTGGACAAGTATTCATTTCACAAAGAAAAGGTTCTTTCCTTTTCAGATATCGATACCTGTGGAGAGGCAGGTCGTGATTAGTAAGTATTATTCCCTGAGAAGCTAAGAGAGGCTGACGTCCAGCAGGAGGAGGAGATAGTGACTTGCAGAAGAGTAAAGATTGTGACAGATGACATTTAAAAGAGAAAGGCCTGTTTGGGGTATAGATTGTTAAGCGGGTAAGCAGTGTGTTTCATAAATGAGCTAAAATGGCTTCTGGGGCTGGGGATTTGGCTCAGTGGTTCCACCGTCTGCCTCACAAGTGCAAGGTCCTGAGTTCAATTCCCGTTACCAAAAAAAAAAAAGGCAGGAATTTTAAAATGGCTTCTGTATATTGGTCCCTAGATCATTTATTTGTCCACAGCAGATTAAGAACTAGTAACTCACAAGCTTAATGCCAAACTTCAAAGTTTACATATTCAATTGCTTTAAATATAGCCCCCAATAAGCAGATTTTTAAAGCTATCTACAGCCTGCCTGATTTACATACCCTGTAAATCTATGTGCAACATCTGTTAGTCCTGTGTAGTATAAAGCCCGGGGCTTTAAAGGCTCCAAACTCCTGCTTAGGACCTCTCTGATTCACAGACTGCCCATTTTGCTGTTGAACACCATCACCTAGACGTGAAGACGTGAACTCTCCTTCCACTTCCGCCAGCCCTTCCGCTTCCCAGGTTCCCTTGTTCTGTGAGGCAGAGTTTATGATGAGGCACGCCCCCTGCCGGCAGACTTGTCAAAAGTCACCCCAATTGGCTTGTGTTTACCGTTATAATTTCTTGGCCGTACCTGCTTTCTCCTTCAGCTTCCAAATCCTTATAACACCGACGGAAGGACAACACCAGACCAAAATGTTTCTAACACATCGGTCAGCATCCTTAGAACCAAATAAAAGATGGAAGTTTACAATGGTACAATATTTGGCATTTTTGTAAATGGGAAAATTCAGAGGAAATGTCAAGATGCTGAAAGTATAGTTAAAATTCTATCAATAAATCTCAGCTATGTAAAAAAAAGCAAGTGAAAATAAAATAACAGATTGGTGTAAATTGCAAAAAAAGACCAGAGCTGGACAGCCCAACAGAATGTTTCATAAAGATAAAAATGTTCTATAATCTGTGTAAATTATAGTATTTACTATGCACTTTTGGATATCAAGCATTTGAATTGTAGCTAGAGTATCAGGAATTTAATTAAATTTTATTTTAATTAATTAATATTGAAATTCTCCCCAAGGAAGGAGAAAAAAGCGCTTTTTCAGGTTAATCTTTGGTATGATTTGCAAATTGTCTAAAATTGAAAAAAACATTGCATTTTCAAGCAAGTCCTTCTTTTGTTTAAGGATGGTGCCACACTATATTGTTCGCGCTGTCCTTCAACTCAAAGCGTATCCTCAAAGTCATGACAATACTCTTGCCTCAGCCTCCTGAATGATGAGATTACGGAGATGTACCACCACACTTGGAGCCACGATGTCTATTTTCATCCCTACAAAGTGAAAATGTCTTCAACAGGAAGAACATTGCAGTATAATTAAAAATTAAATATGCATCTGTATTTATTTTTATATTCAGATGTATGTATATATATATATTCCTATAATTAGTTATCCAGGGCCAGCAAAAGTTAGTAATGAAACTTAATTTCACTGTACATGAGACACATTCTCTCATATCTGTGGTACTGTCCTAAAAATCACAGAAAAGGTTTGACCTTATAATTACACCAGATGGGCTTGAAATTGTGAATACCTCACATATTAATGCATAGAAAGACATTTAGTCTAGCTCAAGATGCTAGTTCTACCACTTTCATAGAGGAGAAACATAGATCAGTATCTAAATTCTTTTGTTTTCTTCTTGAGTTTATTGGTACATTCTAGGTGTACAGTACAGTTACATTCATCACTGGGATCTTGCACCTTTACACGACAGGTCTTGGTTCTCATTTTTCCCCTTGTCCTTGCCCTCCCTTCACCCCCTCCTCCCTTCCCTATTTACAAATACTTCATTTCCATTTTTCTCATGTTTTTTTCCTTTTCCCTCATTTCCTTTCCCCTACACTTCCCACTTTCCCTACACCTTTAGCCCTTTTCTTCCTATTTCACATTGTCAATTATACCATTAGGATCTTATGTACCAGTATAGTTTTTCACACCAGAGAAACTATTTGGTATTTATATATGTGTGACTTATTTATTTCACTTAGGAGTATATCCTCAATATGTATCCATGGTCCTATGAATGACTCTAATTTCTCATTCTTTATGGCTGAGTAGTATTCCACATTATAGAAAAACCACATCTTCTTTATTCAGTCTCCAACTACAAAGGCCTTTAACTCCACCTTGCTGTAAGTGCTATGCATGCGTTTGTCCCGTGTGCATGTGTGTGCTCGCTTGTGTATTCATATCATCAAATAAGGACATCTTATTCGTAGTCGAGCCTTTGTCTCACTGGTTCTTTCTTTGACAAATATGCAACAGTTCAACATCCAGAAGATGATGTATCAAGTTTTAAAAGAATTGGGAAACAACATCAGGCATTTACTTTTTCTTTCCAGATGAAAACAATGAACAGTGCATAAGCAGAAGGATAAATAATAGGGACCAAATACATATTCATAGAGGAGATTTCCTCGTCTTTGTAAGCAAAATTTTCTTTAGTCTTAGGTTAGTTGAAAACCACTGAGACAAGTCATAGATAATAAATACCTAATAATATGTGATAAGAAATATTACAGACCCTCATATTCTATAGCTACCTACAGTTCTGACTCTTAGTAGGTCTCTCAGTTACTGTATTTCTCCGAACGATGTTGTGAGGAAGACGACACATTTCTTCTTAATTTTTTATTTTCCCGAAAATTAAGGGAACGGAAGCCATTGTGAAAAACTGAGAGATTAGTGGATCCTGGAGATTTGAGGGGCCTCGGTGGGTCAGAGAAGGAGAAATCTATTACTGAAAGCTGTAGATATATAACATCTGGAGAGCATGTTTTCTTTCCGGTATTTAGCTCATGTCAATATCACTAACCACTCTGAACTGCTCCTTTGATAAGTGATCATCACCATCCTTTAATATAATGTGTATAAATGTAAAAACTTGCCTCATAGTTTGTCTGCTTCCTCTGAAATCTTTCATCTTGGTGAACTATGAGGAAATCTGTACCTTGGTATTTAGATATATTGGATTTTAGATTTCAATACTAAGAGGAAAACATCCTAGAGATCTCAGAGCGCCAATAATCAGTGCCACAGTGGCACATAGAAAGGGGAGGACCTTCTTCCAGTGGCATCTGCAATTTTACTGTAGTGGGGTCAGTCTTCTACCTGACTGTGGGTTGCTGTTCAAACTGTCTAGGGCCACCCTGTCCCCTTCCTGGACCTGGGGAAGGTGTGCCTGTGGGTATGGGGCAGGGGGAGAAGTAAGTAGGAAATCAAGCCTCTTTCTGCAAAATCTCTGTCTCTGTCTCTGTCTCTCCCTCCCCTCAAGAAAAAGTCTTCCTCCTGCTCTTTATTCCTTGTGGCTGAAATCTTCAAGCACATGCATCTAAGGCAGAGAATCTTAGCCCTACCAAGGCCCTGAGGTTTGGCCACCAATGGGGACAGGAGCTGGTATTTGGGGATCAGAGAAAATAAAATCAAATAAATGTTTTCTCAAGGTTCCAGCTCCTCTCTGGGAGTCCTACCCTGACACTGGAGTAGGCCCAGGAAGTCAAAGGGTGTGAACAGCAGGTGGTGAGGCTGAGGGGCACTCACACCTCTGGGAGTAAACAGATCCAAGATTTGAAGAGGAGAGATGAGAGGGGGAAAAGACAGAGTAATATTGGTGGTGACATTTGAACCACTGGGTCATACAGTGTCAGCTCTCTCTGAGTGGCCAAGATACATGCATCAGTAGATCATTTTCTGCTTGAAGTACTTTGAACTGGTCTTATTTATATTCACCATGTCCACCTTGCTTGGAAGACTTTACCAAGAAAATCGCAAAGACACACAGTTGAACATAAACTACATTTCCACCATGTGGGGAAGAGTATGGAACCAGGACAGGGCACTGCAGCTGAAACATGCACTTCCGGGCATGGTATGTAAGGGAGGGTGTAAAACCATCACAGACCAGCATTCAAATACATGAGCTTTAATCTCTATGGTCACACATCTGTTAGTTCTTACCTTACCACACTTCAATATTCTGGCCTTTAAGCAGGAACAGAAAGAATTATCCAACCTGTCTTCTAATCATGAAAAGAATTATTCTAGGAATTTCTAAAGCATAATAAGGAAACAGAGAGGAAAAAAAAAAAAGCCAGTGAAAAAAATCAAACTTTCCCAGGACAAAGAGGATTCACAATCCAGGGTACAATCAGGTCTTTCCATCATACTGAGATTTCACTGTCACTGCTGTGATCCCTAGGTGAACTGGCACTCCAGGAGTACCCAGCTCAGGAATCTGCCCAGTATAGGACCAGCCCCAGCACTCCAGTGGCCCCCTGTCTACGACACTGGCTTAATGAAGCCATAATCCATGCACTTGACGAGACATTCCCGGGCGGTCTGAACCACCGCCGCCTTCTTCTCATCTGGCTCCTGTTTGCCCACCACTGTGAGGATCTCCAGCAACTCACTCTCCACCAGCTTCTTGGCCAGCTCGGCATCAGCCGCCAGCAGGTTGTAGGCGATGACCAGGCCCCGGTGCTGGACTGAGAGCTGGTCATGCAGGCAAAGCCGCTGTAGGATCTCCAGCCACTGAGGTGTCTGGGGAGGAGAAATAGGTAAAGAAGGATTCAAGGGATCAGTGGGGAGATGGCAAGAAATATATAGAGAAGATGAAAAGCAAAGAGACAGGTCCGCTGCTTGTCTGACAGCAACGGGGATCCAGAGTATTCAGAAAAGAGGATTCTCTCCTGGCTACATGGGCAAGGCCTGCTTCTGCCATCTGGGTGCTCTTTGAGATGAGTGCTGTACCCAGGTAGGCATGCTCTCCACCATTTGACTTTGACTGGAATCAACAAAGAGTCTGGTGTGAACCCTCTCCTCCACTCTTCCTCCATCTCCCTTCCACAGCTGTGAAGCCATCCAACCACTGTGTGTGGGAAGGCAGGACTCCAGACCACTCTGAGCACACATGAGAGACCGTGATAAAGCTGGGAGTCCCATCAGGAATCTTGTGTCATTCAACCAACACACAAAAGACTGCAGGGTAGAATGGACAACCGCCAGGTTTTGGAGTCAGAGACCAGTGTTCAGGTCCCAGCTCAGCACTTAACCAACTTCACGGCCTCAGCTAGGTTATTTTACCCTCTCAGAGCCTTGGGATCCTCACCTGTCATCTGCTGGGCCTACTGCTGACACTGTGCTGACTTCATGAGGTGATTCAGGTTAGCACAGGGGCTGGAGTGTCCCAGGTTTAACAAGTGAATATGGGGAGCGATGATGATTTATACCAATGCAAACATTTGCCCCTTGGCCTTCCTTACACCCTCACCCACCATTTGTCACCAAAATTGCCTTCTATATGTGCTGCTCTCAGACGGGGAGATGGATGCAGAGGGAAAGAAAAGGCAAATGTTTGGTCTGTGCAGACTTTTGTAATTCTACACTGCTTCCTACTGTAAGGAAGGAAATGAATGTTCAGCTAGTTGTGGTGGTAGGAGTCAGAGAAAGTTTCTGTGCTGACGAGTGGCTGGTGATGGGCCCAAGGCCCATTCTCCCCAGAATATCCTTGAGGACTCAGGGGAAAGTGTGATAGAAATTCCATCACGGTAGGATCCCAGGGAAGGAGGCACCTCTGCCTGGCTTCCCAGGGTGTCTCCCAGCTGATGTTGAGGTTGTACAAAAGGTGGGCTTGGGAAGCTTCCCATGTCCCCTAGGGTGTCCATGGTGGGGCAGAAATGCAGCCAAGAATTCTGAGCCCTTCAGTAAGGAGGAAGAAGTGGCCAGCAGTAGGTTGGCAATCCTGAGGGAGTCCCTTCCCTCCCCAACTAACTGTGCGTGGTCTTAGCCTAATTACTTTTCTGTACCTTGGCTTCTTCATCTGTAAAATAAGAATAATAATAGCCCCCCACTTCACAGGGTTGTAAGGAGGATTCATGTGAAACATGTGAGCACTCAGGGTAATGCCTGGCTAACAGTAGATGCAAGGGTCACAGAGCATCTGTGTGGACCTGCCACCAGGAGCCACATGACCAGTTACTCCAGGAGAAGGGACTCCAGGACAACGGTTTTGAAGTGTGGTCCCCAGGCCAGAAGCTCCTCAAACCCAGTCTAGTAATTCAGAAGACCCGGGGGAAACTGTTCACAAGCTTACACGTGTTTGATCTTGAGAAGGTTGCCACTGGGAAAGAGGCTGCAGCCCAAAGACTTCCCAGGGTAATTGGCCCACAGCAGGGGTCCCGATGCCTGGACAACATAAGCCCCTTGAGATTTAGAGAATACACACACACACACACACACACACACACACACACACGCACACACACCTTAAATTGACTGTGTAAAGGGGCCTGCTACCAACCCAGGCGTGTACATTTTTCTCCATCAGTGGAGACGAGTGCCTGCGGACCGAGCTCAGCGCAGTGACATACAGAAAGTCTCATCTTGCATTCTCATGTTTGTTACTGTCAGTATCCTTCTCATTGCTCCTCACCGTTCCTACTGTCGTGGCCACAGTCACACCACAGAGGTGTGTCCCAGGGTGTCCAGCTGATCACTGTGTCCACTTCGGGGAAAACTGTGGCCTCCTCACCAAACCACAAGCTCCCTGTGATATCCCAAGTACTTTCACTCCCTCCCCTTCCCCTCCTTTTCTTTCTCTTCCTCCTCCTTCTCCATTCTCCCGTGCTGGGGATTGAACCCATGGTCTTGTGTATACTCAGCAAGGGTTCTACCACTAAGTTACACCCCCAGCCCTTTGTACTTCTATTTGGAAACAAAGCCTCCCTCACTTGAAGCTGACCTCACAGTTACATTCCAGTGCCTCAACCTCTCCAGCGGCTGGGATTGCAGGAATGTACCACCACATCTGGCATATGCCCATACTTCTCTGAGGAGCTCAGGAGCCCATAGCACTAGCTAGCATTGTTGTTATTGTTGCTATGATTGTTAAGTAATGTGTTCTATGCACCAGCAAAGGCAGCGGGTGAACGGCAGCCGGAGGATTTAAGCTAGCACACTTGGGAAGCCTAAAGAATGCACACAGCCCCTCCTCCCTTTAGGCAGTAGGAACAGACACTCTACGCTGGAAAGGGTTTCCCTGGGTGCTGGTCTCCCAGAGGATCATTGAGGACACATGGTCTAGGGATGGGAGATTCTCTAGAGCCTGCACAGCCCTTTCCTGTTCCCGGGACCCACACTTACCACTTGGGTCATCTTGAGGCACAGTTTCTTCTGTGCTGCTGTCAGCATGGCCAGGGCCCCAGCAGCTGCATTCTGCACCTTTTCATCATCTTCCCCGCAGAGCAGCACCACAAGCTTCAGCCGATCATTCCCATCTGCCAGGAACCTCTCCTGAACCTGGGGAAGGCGGGTGCATGGGTCGGAGAAAAATTCTCTCACCTACCTCCTGAGGCAGCTGAAGTTCTCTGACCCAGGGTCCTTCGAAGTCTTCCTTCTTTGAGCAGAACACCCGTGCCTCCTCCCCCAGGAGGCCATCCCTGGTTGCTAGATGTAAGGGCTGGAAATCCCTCCCAAGTTAAAAAGAGTAAGGGACTCCCTATTTAGCTGGCTGCACTCCCTCTGTTTACACTCAGTGGGCTCTGGCTGCCACAGTAGAGCAGAGAGGCAGGCACTGTTTGTAGGATAGATGGTGCCTCTGGAGAGGATTGGAATGTTTGTCCACAACCTTGGGCCTTCCCAGTCTGCTGCACAATGAACTCTTCGGTCTTTGAAAGTGCAGGGATCTGGGCAGAAGCGGGGACATATAGGTATTTTCCTAGTAAAGGAGAGGTACTGTACTGTCCCCTGCCAGGTGACAAAGAGGCTTTCCAAGGACCTGAAAGCAGAAGAGCCAATCAGGGGCCGGGGGCCTGACCTGTGTCTCCAACCGCAGCCCAGGCCGATATGAAGCCCTCACAGCATCTCACTACCAGCTCTGCCCTATGGGAAATCAGGTTGGTCAAGTTTAAGGCCATTTCATTGGACCAAGTTTTCAAGATGTGGAGCTATGAAAGACTTGGATAAGGGTCACTGCTGCCCAGATAAGACCCTCCTCCACTTGCGTCTCCCTGAAGCTAGAGCAGCAGTCAACACAGGTGAGAGGATGGCAGAGGAGGGAGCTCAATGTTGTCCCGTCTTGTGGGGCTCAGTTATTGAGAAGCAGCTACTCAGACAAGGACTGTGTTTTCTCCTCTTGCATCTTGCTGGGGCTGTGACCTGGTTCTGATGGATGGAACACTCGCAGAGGTGAGGCGTGTCACTGCCGGACCACCTTAGGCAGCTGCTCCAGATGCCTCTTCCCTGGTCTCTCCCCATTCACCACCGGAATGGAGATGACTCCCCGGGCCACAGAGGGTGGGCAGTTCTCACTAACAGAGGAAGCCTGGATCCCTGAGCCACTGCTTGGAAGTGGGCTATGCCATCCGAATGGGTCTATGACGTGGTGGGCGAACAGTAAACCTCGCTCCTATTAATTTTGGTTGTTACAGCAACAACCAACCTCCCCTTCCCCAGGGAAGGTCGCCTCTCCGCTTGCCTTATCTTTTCACCGCACCACCATCGCCCATCTCCTTGGACACACTCTCTTTCCCCACATAACTGCCAGGTCCCCAACCTAGCCTTGGGCCAGCCCCACGGTGGATCCTGGTTCCTTTCTTTCCTGATTTTAACAAGATTTCCAAGATTGAGGTTTCCTTCAAGACTAAGTATTGAGGCAAGAAAGATTCAGTCTCAAGCCAGAAGGGCCCCATGTCCTCCCCTTCCTACCAAGAAGGGACTCAGCTCTATTGACAAGAGAGGCAGTAGACATTTGACAGATGGTTAAAATGTGTTCCCTGTACTGGACCAGGAAGCCTTCTGGCATGTTCTGAATTTTTTTTTTTTTTTTTTTTTTTTTTTTTTGGGGCGAGGTCTTGCTGCGTAGCCCAGGCTGGCCTCACACTTGTGGTGATCCTCCTGCCTCAACCTCCCAAGTTGGGACTACAGGCATGCACCACCACACCTGGCTTTATTTTATTTTTATAAACCTAATTGTTACTCTTTGATGATCACATTGTGATTTCTAAGGAAACAGTGATAGCTCATTAAATATCAGCATTTTAAATATTCTAAAATGATTTATAACTGTATTTTGGCATTTCTTCATTATTAATTTAAAAAAACTTTAATAAACATAAATGATCTAGCATCCTTGACCTCTAAGAGGCCCTGGTCTGAAATCCTGCTCTGCTTTCATGTTACTTAGGCCTAAGTGACTTTGGGAAATAGTCCTTTCAATTCATCTAGTCCAAGTTTGGCAGTCAAAAGCCCCAGTTTGGGACAATATTATGTCGTACCCTGTGGGAGGGAGGGTTGCTGTAAGCCAGGAAAGAGTCAGAGAAACTCCTGGATTCTCTGGCTAAAATGCTGCTTTGGTTTTTCTTTTTGTTTTTGTGGTGCAGGGGATCAAACCTATGGCCTTGCACAAGCTAGGCAAGCCCTCCACCCCTGAGCTACAGGCTCAACGCCAAAATGCTGCTTCAGCCATTGGCACGGCCGTAGCCTCATCACAGGCCTGGCTGCCGGCTGGACCCTCTGGGCCTGGATCACCCAGTCTCACCTCCTTGTTGACCACCATGTTGCACATGCATTCGGTGGCTGCCTGCCGCAGCTGGTCGTGATTCTCAAACATGTAGTTCTCGATGTCCGGCAAGGCTCTCTCCTTAAAGATCTTCTGCCTGGGGTGGGAGGGCAGAGAAGAGAGGCCCTTGAGTCCTCTGTGGTGAGCACCTGGGGTTTTGGCCTCCCGAGGGCATCCCTCCTCCATCCTGGTGATGTCCCTCCCAGCCCTCCACTCCTCCACCAGCACCGTGTGGGCAGCATCGTGCCTGTGCCCGGCTCCAGAAGGGGCACCGATAGGCACAAACTAAATGGCACAGCAGTGTATCCTGTCCCTGGTAATGGATTCCAGGCTGAGTATATAACCCCATTAGAGACTTTTGCATTATTATTAGGGAGGAGAAATTCTCTCTTCCTCTCTCTCCTTCCTGCTGGACATGAAGCCAAGAAGACGAGAACTCTAGAGCTACCTTGTGGTGATGAGGGAGGGAGAAAAATGCATCTGAGAATGAAGACAACATACCGAGGTGAAGAAAAGAACAGAAAAAAGAGGAGAAGAGAGGACGTGGGAGGGGTGGGGAAGGGAGGGGAGTAGAGGAGCAGGAACTAGGACAGTTTTTAAACCTCTGCATCAAGTCACTTGAATCTGGATTACCCCAGACTTTACACAAATCAATACATATCCTTTATGCTCAAGCCAATCAGGGTTATTTTTCTGCCACTTAAAAAAATGAATAGCAATCCGATATATTCTACCATCCACCTGCTTCCGCGTTACCTCCACCTGAGCACCTGGATATCTTACTGCTTTGGGAGCTGTGTCTTCGCAGCCCTCTGGCTTCATATGTTCCCTGTGTGGTCGTTGAGGTGTGAACTCAAATCCTTCCCACTGCCTCATGCACAAACAGCCATTGCAGTGTCCAATGTGTGTGAAATTTCAGCCAAATACTTTAAGGGATCCCCTCTCTCCATCCTTGTCCCTCCTCTCACCTCCACATCCCACTCACCGGAGTTTGTCACTCCGTCCAGACAGGTTGGTGAGGCCTAGGAGAGCCTCATAGTTCTGAAGCCCATCCCTTTGGGTGTCCAGGAGACTTACCAGGGGCCGCACCACCTCATACACCTGTGGGGGGGTCACAGACTGGATCAGGAAGGGACCACATTCCCCAGTCCCTTGCATTTATAAATGGCCAGCTTTAAATTTACAAATCACTTTCCCCTGTGTTATCTGACTTAATCTCCACAGTGATGAGGAACCGGGATCATATCCTCTACTTTGGAGAAGAGATAACTGAGTTTGTGGGAGGACAATCCTGTTCCCAGAGGCAGAGCCAAACCTGGCATCAGATGCCTCCAATTCATCCCTCACCCTGACCCATGAAAGTACTGTACCCCTCTCCCAGGCTGGAGTGATGAGGGGAAAGGTCCCTACAAGCAGCTACAAGCAGAGGAGAGCATGGCCAGGCCATCCACCCCAAATACCCACCCGTTCCCCAGGGAAGGCGATGTCTGGGTTGGAGACAGCGGCGATCTTGGCAAGGGCATGGGCTGCCTTCACCTTGCCCACTTCTGTGCCCTCCAAGGCCAGGGGGATCAGGGCCTGCAAGAAAGGATGCAGTCGCTACTCATCCGGAGGGCCCTCCCGACCCCCACTCCAGCTGCCTCTCTGTCCCATCAGAAGTTTAGGAAGACTCGGCAACATAACCAACCCTTGAGGATCATGGAAAACAACCAAATACTTAATCATGGATTCACTCCCCTGCTCCCAATGCCTATCCAGGTCTGCGTCCCCACTTCCTTCCACCCATCCATGTGTTCCTTTAGCTTTTGAAAAATAACCAATAATTGGAATTTTCAGTTTTTGCCCAAGCCAGACCTAATCAGCAGCCACTTATTGAGGACCTACTGTGAGATTTATGCTATCTAGAAATAGATATCTAGATTTATTTTATCTGATCCTTGTCACATTCTGAAAATGAATGTGGTTCCCCCTCACATTTTACAAATGAAGAAATTGTGGTCCCAGAAGAGTAAATAATCTGCCGCAATTACATAGCTGAAAAGGTGAAGTGAAGACTAAACAGAAAAATTCTGCAGAAAAAACTCCACGGTCTCTAGCTTTGCACCAGGCCTCCTTCCAACAGCAGGAAGGATAAATGGGATTCTGAGGTACATTCCGTGGTGTCCTCAAATCAAGCACAGATTGCTCTGAGGCCATGGGTAGAGATAATGAAGATAACGGAGTGACTGTATTCCAGGCTGGGGTGGACTGGGAGGACACGATTCTTGGGCCAGGCAAGAAGCATGCACACACATACACGCATCCACACATGCACGCACGGACACACAGTGTGTGATCGTCTGTACCAGATCGTGATGACCTTCTAGGGTGATCTTTATCTCACCCAATTACCTTGCCTCCACCCTGAGCCACAATGGTGCCTCGGTCCCTTGGGTTGTCACACAGTGCCAGGAACACCCTGCAGGGCCGAGGATAGAGGGGACTATTTAGTGTACCCATACTCTTTCCCGAGCATCCCAGCCCAGCTGGTCAGAGCTGGGGAAACCAGCTGTTGGAGGACCAACAGTGGAAACCTGGAGAGGGCACCCTGTGTGCCCAGGCCTAGAATGAGCCAGCTTGAGAAGACACTACCACGGATGTACGAGGCAGGGAGGAAGTAGGGCCAAGTGGGGCTGCAGAGTCACCACCCATTCCCCTGATGCAGACAACCACGGGCTCCTGGCTGCTCCTTTCGCCCCAGGAGAAGCTCTCCACCTCCATGGTCTCCCCAGCCTCCTCTCTTCGGTCTCACCTAGAACCCCAAACCCCAGACATATCACAGGGGAACCCCAACATTCACTCATTCTCCCTCCACTCTTGATGTCTTTGTATATCCCATTGCCCCTGCCTGGGACCCTTCCTTTCCTGCATTTGGGTGGTTTGTTTTCTTCCTGCAGGGCTCCTCCACCGGGAGCCCTTCCTGGCTGCCCTCGCATGCCCTCCAGGCTGGCTGGTTGGGTGACAGTGCTTGTGCTTCTGCCAGCCCTCTGTGCTTCCCTGTCATGGCGCCCACCGCATTGTACTGTAACCATGACGTGCCCGCCCCCTCCCAGGCTGCACAGACACTGTGCCTTTAATCTCTGAGAACAAGGAAACTGGAGTGGACAGTGACCACTCCTGATGCAAACTTCTGCCAGTGGTAACCTTCCCTTTCACATCACATTTCAGCGTTCATCCCTTTAAGTCTCTTTGCTGGGACGCCCAGCAGCTCATCTCCTCACCTAGTCCCCCACCACTTCCATCTCCCGCCCTCCAGACCCCAGCCTGGCCCGCTCCAGCTGTACCTGGCCAGCAGCTCCTTGGTCTGGTCAGTGAGGATGGCGCTGTCTGCTTTCACCATGCAGGCCAGGGCCGAGATGATACCTGCCTTCAGGAGCCTCTTCACACGCATGTCCACAAAGTCCTTCTTGTCCTGTGAGGATGAAAGGGTGGCCATGGAGAACGGGCCTGGGCATCAGGACAAACTGTATTGGAAGTAAAGGTGGTGCAGTTCCGATTTCCTGTGATAGGTTAAATAATGGTCCCCAAAGACACCTGCAGCCTAATCCTTGGAACCTGAGAATGTGTGACCTTACATGACAAAAGAGGCTATGCCTGGTGATTTAGGTGGTCGCAGAGCAATCGGTATTGTCACAAGGAAGTAAGATCAGAGTAAACACTAGGAAAGGCAACACCTGAAGAAGAGATTGGAGTAGTTTAAGGTCACAAGTTGAGGAACATAAGTGGCCTCTAGAAGCTGAAAAAGATAAAAGGAGCCTCCAGAGCCTCCAGAAGGAACCAGCTCTGCCAACACCTTGACTTTACTTTAGCCCAGGTAAACAAATTTTAGGACTTCTGATGCTTGAAATAAGAAGAACAGCAACCCAATGTATTCCACCATCCACCTGCTTTCAAGATGGATCACACTATCCGATGCACCTGACCACCTGGCTACCTTCCTGTTTGTCTTTGGCAATGTGTTATGGCGGCAATAGGAAAGAAATACACTTCTCTGGATCCCCTTTGCCAAAACCTCTGCTAAGAAGTGCACAGCCCATTCTGCTGCTCGGCCTCAACCTCCCCACCTCTAGGACAGAGCCCGTGGAGCTGCTGACACAGGAGAAGCAAACCCAAGGGCTATCTTACTCATAGAGGAGTGAAATGAAAGAAAGTTGATGATCCAAAGCACTAGGCCACCTGGATGTTGTGTGTTTTTTTGTTTGTGAAGGCTGACTTTCCCTTAGGGCAGGGGTGATGAGTTACGGGAGAAGATTCGCGTAGGCAAAAGAGGATGGCAAAGGAAGCTGACGGGATAGGTTTTGCTGGAAACCCAAAGTCAGCCTGAGGTTGAGGCATCATGACAGATAATTCTCAGAACCAATGTGGTCAGGAAGAGGTGACACTGTGTCCAATTTCTAGGGGCACATTTGCTCTTCACAACAGAAGAACATGCCGCACACCCGTGCCTGGATGAAATATGGCCTAATGTTTAAAAACTGACTCAGATAATGAGTGAGATGGCACAGTGGAGAACACACAAAGTATATTCCAGAGATTGGACCCAAGACAACTACATTCTGACTAGAACTATAAAAAGAAAGAAAAAAGACACACAAGGGGGAAATAAAGCCTCTAAAGGGTAACACAACACACCAAAACACCAATGGTGGTCATCCTGAGATAATATCATTGTGAATGGTTATTTTCTTTTTGCTATTGCCTGTCTTCTTGTTTGTTTTGGAACACAGGCGTATCACTCAATCATTTTTAAACATCAAAACGATATTACTGGCTGGGGATATTTTGCATTGAACTCATATGCAGATCACATATAAATCATATACTTGTGTCCAGGGGATTATCAGACCTTTGTGTCGGTGGCCCAAAGGGACAGCTGACATCTGGGCTAATGCTGACCCATATCCTTCCCCTATTCATCATCCACTTCTCCAAATCCAGATACCCCAGAAATTTACATCTCAGAAACATGAAATAAAACCATCTCGTAGCTCTGAAGTCAATAACGTAAACAGCAAAATATTCTCATGGCTCCATTTGTTTAATCAGACTGTAAAACTGATCTTTCTCCAAGACAGAAAATTAAAATAAAAGCCACACATGCCATCTGGTGGGGAAATTTGGCATACCATACCACACCATCCTCAAGGGGCCTGTGTCCTAACCTCGAATCACACCTGGCCTCACACACACACCTCACTGTTTCTCCATTCCACTGCGTCTTCTGGAGCTCTTATGACACAGCCCTCCTGCCAGCTGTGCCCACACTCACCTTGGGGTGCTCCTCAGGCACATGCTGCTTGGAGAATCTGGCAAGCTGCACCAGCTCAGGGATGACTTCCTTGACATCGTAGCTGTTGGTACAGTTCACCAGGGTGGTGGCCACCGAGTACAGGATGGTCTTGTCACTGGTCTGGAGACACCGGGTTAGGAGGAGAGGGAGAAGAGCCCATTGCAACCAGCCTTTTCTTCCACAACAGCTTCCTGAACAGCGTGCAGGTGGGTTTGGGAGGAGCACAGTGGTGGGGCTGATCTTGGAGAAGTACAGGGTTACAGAGGGAGAGGAACCAGCTCTCATCAAGCATGGGCAGAGAAGCACCCTGAACTCTCACAGCACCCTAGAGTAGGAGCTTTACCCCCTCCTCGCTTGCTGCCTCTTTCAGAAGCCCAGTCCCACAACTTTCCCCTGCCAGGATGGGTCTGGGTGGGCATCGGATGCCCTCTGCTCTGGCCCTGTGAGTACCCCTCCCACACTTCCAGAGAAACTGAGGGAGCTCTGCCACCATCCCTCCCACACAAGCTCACACCCGAGAAGCACAGACAAACACAGATGTCCTCTTGTTCACCCTTCTCATGCCTAGAAGTCAGGCAGAGCATCAAGCTCAGTTACAGCCAGAAAGAGGGAAGTGGCCAGTCCAGGTTTGCAAAGGGGAGGGGTCGAGCCAGGACCAAAGCCCAGCGGGACAGTCCCTGTGGGCCTGGGGCCAGAAGCCCTTTCCTGTGGCTGGAGCTCAGAGCCACACTTGCCTTGGCCAGCTCGAACATGGCCTGCAGCGCAGGGATGTCCTGGACAAAGTCATCCTTCACATCGGCGTCCAGTGTGAGGTAGGCCATGCCCTCCACTGCCCAGCGCCGGGTCCGGGTGTCTATGGTGGCATTGCACAGCCACCTAGAAGCGCAGAGGGAGAGTTGCTAGGGGAGGTGCTGGGGCTCCCACCAAGAGTAAAGTGATCGCAGGGTAGCAGAGATCAGGGACCCTTCCTCATCCGATAGCTGCTAGAGCACACCCCAAGACCCCCACATGCAAGCCTGAAGAAAGACAGAGGGCCTGGGAGGCACAAGCCCCTTACTTGCGGCACTGCTTGGCCAGCTTCTCGGTTGACCCTTCAGCAAACTGTCGGAGACCGTAGTCTGTGCCGCCTGCAGATCCGAGCTTACAGAGACCCTTGGAGGAGACAGACAGGCTCAGGGTCAGTGACATGGAGGCTTGAGACCAGGCCCTACTCAAATGGCTCCCAGCAGCCAGAACACGTGCCTGTTTTCCTCTGCTGTGACACACATCTATGTGAATTGTACACCTGCCTCAGGGGACAGTGCCTCTGTAGTGCCTCAATGACACTCTAGGGTAGGAGAGGTGCCCGAGAAGCTGGAGGCTTAGCCAGGCATAGTTGTGCCTACTGGTAATCCAGGCATTTGGGAGGCCGAGGCGGAAAGATCACAAGGTCAAGGCTAGCCTGAACTACACAGTGAGATCTTATCTCAAAAACAAAAAAGCTGGAGGTTTTTACCTTACTCCACCATTCTGACCTCAAAGGCACACTAGCCATATGCAGCAACTGCTTGTGGTGGTACAATAACTGACCCACAGGTCACATTATTGGGGATCTGCTAAATGTAAACTGGACTCTTGCTAGGAAAAAAAAATATTCTGGAAGAGAAAATTCTCCATGGCAGAAGCTGAAATTAGTTTTTGAAAGTTTGGTATGAATTTTTAAAATCAACGACTATGAAATCTCCGTAATTGTTTACAAGATAAAGAGAAGATCAGTAAAAATAATTTCAGTAAAATGAAAATGGAAAAAATAAAGCGCATTTAACTGTGCCACACAGACGCTTACTGAGGAGCGTGACTTTTTGGCGTCTGCTCTGAAAGCTCTTTCTGGACAAAGCTCCTCAGTGCGCATGTCCTTGGCAGTAGAGGGCACACCCTCAGGCTAAGCAAAGGGCCCAGCCAGTCAAGGTTCACTTGGCACCGCGTGTCACGCTTTCACAGAGGTCTGTGGGTGGGGCCAGCACACCCTGGTGTGAGCCCCCATTCATGCTGGTGGCCCTGGTAACTGGGTCTGGAACCAGGTAGGCGGGGAGCACCAAGCCCACTTACCACCAGTGTGCGGATCTTGATCTTCTCGTTTTTGGTGGTCTTGTAGATCTGTTTGAGCAGCGACACTCCATTGGTGATGATGAAGGTGGCCCGGCTGAGCTTGGTGGAGGCGTGGATGAGGGCCTCCACGGCCACCAGCTGGTCCGCCTCGCGCTCCGAGCCACACAGCGCCACCATCATCTCCATCACACCTTTCATTCCCAGCAGCTGATTGCCCAGGTCAAAGGGCCCCTGCAAGATCCCAGACACAGTCTGGATGGCATTCACATTCTTATCCATGTCCTGCGGGTCAAACTTGCTCCTAAAGCAGAGGATGAGAGTTGTCAAGAGAATTGGCCCGAGGTGAAGAAAAGGTTAGATACTGTAAGAGTTAAGTTTAATTGTCAACTTGATTGAGATGCCCAGGGAGTTAATAAAGCACATTCTGGGTGGACCTGGGTGGACTGTGGAGGCATGACCTTTGTTACGGTATCTGGCCCTGTCCTCTCTGACACCATCCCCGGGATGCTCCGCTTCCCAGCCCCCATGAACTGAGCAGCTTTGCCCTGCCGCACCCTCCTGCCATGATGTTCCTGCCTTGGAACCAGCCTTGAGCCAGAATTACCCAGCCAAGCCATTTCTAAATTTATTTTACTGGACAACAGTAAATGTGTATCATCGTTTTGAGTTGTTAAATGTTGGGACAACTTGTTACACAGCCATGAATATCCAGTACAGCTGATCATGGACTGAATCCCGTGAAACCATGAGCCAGATTTAGTCCCTCCTCCTTTAAGCTGTGGATTTCAGACGTTGTGACCCAGCAATGAGAAAGCTGACTGATACAGATGTGAAAGCAGACAGATCTGGCTCTGCCACTCCTGTGCTGTGTGGAGTTGGGCAGTTCACTGGACCCCTCTGAGCCTCAGCTTCTTGATCTATCAACTGAGGGCAGCACAACTCTCAGAGTTGTGGTAAGGATAAATGATACAACAGTGTGCTACAGGGTGTGTCCCCCAGGAAGCACACTCCGACCCAGGGATTTATGTACAGGAGTTTTATGAGAGAGGGCTCTTTGGAAGGAAGGGAAGTGGTCTTGGGCAGAGTGAGGCATTGGGCTGCAAAGCCTCAGCCTGCAAAGAGCTCTGGAGCTGGAGACCCCTTTCAAGATTGTTCCAAATGGGGCTGAGTCATTGGATACCGGCTACCCTAAGAAGGATAAGACTCCTCCGCAGCAGCTGAGGTGTCTCGGGGATATCCACAGCCATAGAAAGGGCCCAGAGTGGTGCCCACCCCACTGTGCCTCCCCCTGTCAGAAGAGAATGTTGAACTCTATCTGGGATCTCAGCAGGGACTTCAGAAGTCAGCAGGCAGCTGGACATTGTGACACATGCTTGTAATTCCAGCACTTGGGAGGCTGAGGCAGGAGGATCACCACAATTTTGAGGCCAGCCTGGGCTATATAGTGAGTTCAAGGCTAGTCTGAATTGCACAGCAAGACCCTGTCTCAAAACAAAAACAAAAACAAAAACAAAAACAAAAGTCAGCAGGCAGAGGTGATGCTATGAGAGGCAAAGCTGGAGGTGCTATGAGTTAGTGGAAGTTATGGGATACAGCAGGAGTTGACACGTCTGGGAAGCTGAGAATAATTTTTGTATTTTAGGACAGATTTATGTTCTGTTTTGTTTTGTTTTGTAGTACCAGGCATTGAACTCAGGACCTTGTGCTTGCAAGGCAAGCTCGGTGCCACTGAGCTAAATCCCTGGCCCCTCATTTTTGTATTTTAAAGCATTAAAAAAATAAAGAATGGGTGATAGAAATGCATAAAGTTGCCTGGCAAAGATGAACATGTTTCCTCTGAGGTCCTTTATAGAAATAGTTTGCTAATCCTTGGGAAAAGGAAAAAGAAAAGTAGAGTAAAAGTGGTGTCTCCTGCCCAGCTAAATAAAACTCACTGGGGTGCTCTTAAGCATGCAGCTTCCTGAGCCACCCCCAGACCACTGGCTCATCATTAGGGTTTATATCTAAAATGTCCCCCAAAGCCTCATGTGCTCTCAGAGGGGGCTTTTAGGAGTGGCTGGTCATGGTGTGTGATACTAGATTAAGGATGTGGTAAATAAATTGGTCCACATAATGGTTTAGCATAGTTATGGGTGTGGATATTGGGAAGGCTTGCTGTGGGTGTGGGTGATACCATCCAATAGATTTGTAGCCTAGATGGAATAAAAGGGAAAGGAAGGTCCACTCCTGCCTGCCTTGCCATGGACTGTTACTCCTCTGCCATGCCCCTTTGCCATGCTGTCCTGTCTTGCACCCTGCTAACTATGAACTAAACCTCTACAAAATGTAAGCTGAAATAAACCTTTCCTCCTTTAACTGATAGGTGTTGAGTATTATGCCTCACCTACAAGAAAAGTAACTAAGACACTCATGAACAATTTACAAGTTTGAGAATCGCTGAAATAATTAGTTAAAAGGCCATATAGCAAGGGGAGGAAAAGGAAGAGGAAACATAATGAAAAACAAGACCCAGAGAAAGGGTCTGAGATGAGGGGATGGCAATCAGGAGACCCAGGACACCCCACTGCTGAGGGTCTCTGGCTAGTCTCTGGAAAGTCACACAGTTACAAAAGTCTATACAGAGCCAGCTTCCTCCTTATGAGCTCATGCATATTCTTTTCAGCCATAGGCACCTGTCATAGGTATAAATTATGTCTAGAAAAAATTTTGAAGTGCTAGGGATGGGGTCTTGCACATACTAGGGAGGCACTCTACCACTGAGCTCTAGCCCTTGTCCAGAATATTTTGACACACCTCCCTTCACACAGTGGAAACTAATCCTCTCCCTTGGGGCCAGACTGGAAGTGATGTGGCAGAAGGGATGGTGTGCATCTTCCCAGGCTGGAAGACATTGCCCTTTCACTTTGTGCTTTAAGACAAAGCTTCCTCACTTTGGGGAAGCTAAGCTGCCACAAGCTGGAGCCATGTGGAGCCAGTGGAGAAATCCTGCCACCCATAGCCAACACAAAAGAGCCAGCCATGTGAATGTGTCATCTTGGAAGCAGCCATCTTGGAAGCAGCCATCTTGGGCCCCTCAGCTCCAGCCTTCAGATGGCTGCAGCTCAGGCCAACCTACAATTGTAGGTTCCTGAGAGACCCTGAGCCAGAATCACCCAGGCAAGCCACTCCTGAATTTATTTTACTGCACAACCATAAATGATTTTAGTCACTAAGTGTTGGAATAACTTGTTACACAGCCACAGATATCCAGTACAGAGCTGACCCTGCGAGGCCTCCAGAGAACTCACGTGATATACTCCTCACAGATCTTGCGGAAGTGCTCGCGCTCTGGGTCACAGCGCAGGTCGTCATAGAGTTTGTTGATGAGGATGGAGGCCAGCATGCGGGTGTTGTCTGTCAGGGGAAGGCAGGAGGGCAGGTCTGGAACCTGCCCTACGACCTTCAGGATCTTCCTCAGGCCTGCAGGGTAATGACAGGAAGTGTAAGATCCCCGCTGGGCTTTGTCCTCACAAACACATGTGTGATGCATTTGTCAGCAGTGTCTTAGCACAGGCTTCACTCAGCCCTGGCTGTAGGCAGCACTCGACTTGTCCAGAGTACAGGGCACTGGGGTGGGGACAGGAGACCCAGCCCATCCACCTGATTCTGTCCTAGCCTGTGCGACACCTTCTTCTCTGGGGCTCCACTTTCACATGGTCAAAATCAAGACTAGCAGATGTTGGAGGATTGGAACAAGGCTAATTTCCAATGGATCGATGCATAATCTTCCTACCACACTATTTTATATCCTCTTTCCCCCATGCCTCAGTGGCTTTAGTTATCAAAATGGAAACTATACTACCTACCTTATAGCACTTGAGAACTCAGGTAATAAAAAAATGTGTAGAGATGACCTGGTGACAATCCAGAGACATCATTATCAGTCAATTCATGTCTATCAGTTAGTAAATACTGTATTTGTTATTTATTGTTATTGTCCCTTTCCATCTCTTTGGTTAAAGAATCATCAATGGCTGCCTCCATCAGACTAATTCAATAGTCATGTATTTGTTGAAATAAGTGAATGATAAAATGAACACCTTTTAAGTGCTGGCTTTACTGCTGTACAGAAAACAGACTTGTAAAGATGACAGTACTGAGTGATAAAAGATGACAAAGTGCAGAGTGGTTACACTGCAGATGGGGTGCTAGGCTGCGAGTTATTTTGAGCACTTAGTAGGTGCCCAGAAATTTATCCACATTACCCAATTCAATCCTACCCATAACCCTACTGGTTAGGAATCATTATTATCATCTTTCAGAGCACAAAACCAAGACAGAAAAGTCAAGTAAGTTGCCCAAGGTCGCATAGCTGGTAGGTGGCAAGGTGATGACCCTCTCCCCATAGTATCTATGTCAAAGCCCACAGTGTTCACCATCAGACTATGCTGCCTATGGGACAAAGGACAGCTTGATCTCAGAGCCAGATTTTAGAAGGGCTTGGAGTTGGTCAGACCACGGTGGTGCCAGTACATGGGAGGAGGAGCACTGACTGTAATTGAAGGGAGGGGTGAAACTCTGGCTGTTAAAAGCGACTTAAAATGCTCAGTGGCAAATGTCCTGCTATGTGTATTTTTACCATTCTAAGGGAAAATTCTGTTTCTTCTCTACTACTCTTCTCTGTAGTTGATGTCTGATGCCAGATGGGCATCCTACCACTCACGTCAACTCTTGTCTACCTGGGCTGAAGAGCTCAGTCCCATGGCTGCCCGCACTTCAGAGCCTGGTGGCAGGTGGCAAGTCCCAGGTTTCCTACAACTTCTGTCCAACCTGGCTACGAATGAAAGCTCCCACCATCCTCCCCTCCTCCAGCTTCCGTAATTTGCTGGAACAGCTTTCAGAACTCAGGGGGACAGTGTACTTCACAGATTATCAGTTAGTATAAAAGCTGCAGCCAGGAAGAGCTGGGTGGAAGAGATGCACAGGGCAAGGTCTAGGGCAGGGATGTGGAGCTGCTATGCCCTCTCCGGGTGAGCCGCCTTCCCAGCATTTCCATGTGCTCCCCAGCCTGGGAGCCTCTCTGAAGCTCTTCAGCTACAGTTTTTTTTCCAGTGGAGGCTTCCTGACATAGACATAACCGATTAAATCTGGCCCTTAGTGACTAGCTCAATCCGCAGCCCTCTCTCTCTTCTCACCTGAGGTCAGAGGTGTGATGGGAGCTGGGGAAAGAAAGTTCCAACCCTCTCATCACAGTACTGGCTCCCCTGGCAAATGCCTCCTCCTCCATTCTGACCCCCAGTGTCTAGTCATCTTGTCTGTAGACAGAGACGCTTAGTACACAGGAGGTCCCAACAGTTGTAAGAACTGTGTGCCAGGAAACAAGCGCAGAAACCAAACACATATTTCTGCCTCTTTTTATGTCTTATTATGTCACAACCGCATGCTCAAAATGGACTTGGCAGAGCTGCAAGGGCCCCGATGAACCAATCCAGACTGTCCAGTCTGGGGCCCAAAGGCCCATGGGAGGTACCAACTCCCTTTCCCATGACCGCCCCCTCTTCCCTTTCATCCTTCCCATTCCTTGAGTGTACTAGTTCTCCTCTGCTAGAACTCTCTGCACTCCCTTCTCATCTTTGTCTCTTCCTTAAACCAAGACCTCAGGCCCTCACTTCCCCTACCACCCCAGATTGCACCACACCTACGCCTCAGCACTGCAGCTTTGCATTAGCACGTCAGAATTTTTATATCCACTTTATTTTTACCCAGATGCTTTTCATTTTGGTGTCCTTCAGTGCAAGGGCAGAATAACAAATATTGGTCCTCACCCTCCCTATCCTACAAACTGTGTGGTTGAGTCTACTTCCTAGTGCAGAGAAAAGGGGTCATTGCTGATGCTCTATGTTTACAACATATTCAGAAAAGGCTGGAACTGGGAGGGGGATCCTGTAAGGGCAGCCCTTAAGCACTACTTGGTCAAAAGCTAAGCAATTGCACGTGTATTTTGCTGGGATCTACGATGAAACAGACAAGATATCAAAAGCTATCAAGGCGGCGAAAGCTGACGTGAATCTACAAAGCCTGTGGGCAGACGAACCACAGCAGATGGTAAAACCACAGGTCTGATTCCTGAACAGTTATAGACGTCGACTAAGGGGCAGTTAACACCTTGGAGACCACAAATTTAGTGACTATCTGCTGGAAACTTTCACTGTCCTTGATGCCACTTTCTCCCTTCTAGAAGCCCTGTGGAGTATTTCGCCAACCATGAGACTTCAGGAATGTTATCCTGTGGTTAATGGAATCCTGTTTGGTTTTTTTGAATGGGCCTATATTTTGAGGCGACTCCACATAGAAGCACTGGGGTGTGCCTGACACTTTCTGGGTATGTTAAGGCCCTGAGTTCTGGGACTGAAGACTCCTTCCAGACAAGAGCCTTCCCTCTTGTACTTTCTGCTCGGTACCAGGTAGTGTGGTGCTCACTGAAAAGACGAGTGAGCCCCACCCACCCCCATCTCCTCACCATTGTCCACCACATAGATGGTTCGTGAGTTGTCGTGAATGGCCAGATCCTTCCTGGGAACATTCTTATTGAGCAGATTCAGCGCCTGATCCCTGCCCTGACCAGACACCTTCTTGCTAACCAGCATGTCGAGCAGGTGGTTGGTGATCTGCTTCAGGTCCTTCTTGGTGTCTGGGGAATGCAAGATAGGAATAAATAGAGGGGAGTAGAAAGTCTTGGGTGGACAAGGTCAAGAGGAGCAGAAGTTCCTAGAAAGATTCCAGAAATATGGAACCCACTGCTTTCTGGATGTGTGAATTTCCTGGGAGAGTGTACTGTTGTTCATCCCTGCACAAGCCCAGGATCCTCCAGCTTTTCTGAGCACCATCTTCTACCATAGCTCATTCTATCCTTGAACCGCTCTGGTTCTTAGAAAGTCTCCATCCCCAGTCTGTGACTGGCAGAGGTCCAAGAACAGGTCAGGTAGGTTTTTGTCATTTTGTTTTGTTCTGTATTTTGGGTGGTACTGGGGATTGAACCCAGAGCCTTAGCAATGTTAGCCAAGCACTCTGCCACAGAACTACAATCGCTTTCTTTCTTTCTTTCTCTCAGACAGGGCCTCACTAAGTTGCCCAGGCTGGCCTCAAATTTTCAATCTTCTTGCCTCACTTTCCCAAGTAGCTGGGATTACCATGCACGTGTATTTTGCTGGGACCTATTAAGACACAAACAAGAGAAATCAAATCTCAAAAGCTATCAAGCCAGCAAAAGCTGATGTGAATCTGTAAAGCCTGTGGCCAGATGAACCATAACAGGGCTCCGTTATATAATTTTCAATAAACTAATTTAATAAAATGTTTTCCAGAAGGGGAACTATATACACCTTACAGTCACCTTACCCACCCCCAGAAGTATATCAAGGTGTGCGGGAGCCCAAATCCCGGCCTTTTCCTAGGATGCCAGGGGTTCGCTGCCTGCCTGTAGATGTGAGAAGACCAGGGTCTATTCCGCTTCTGCTGTCTGACCTCCCTGAGACTCAGAAAGACTTTCCTGCTCATCTTTTCCTTGTTAGGGCTTAATAACACCCCGTCACATGCATATTCTCTGCCACACTGTGTATATCTAGTCCTCCGTGATGGACCCTGCATTCTGCCTTTGGCTGCTCTGAACACCACCGCTGTGCCTCCCATACTTTTATAGTTAGAAAATATCAGGCCGCCTCCACACACAGAAAATGCCCATTCTGAGACGACGATGGACTCTCCTCCTCCCTCACTTGAACCAAAACCGAAGGCATCTCCTACCTAGAACCAGGGCCTCCTCTTTCCCTCGATGCTCCCGCTTGTCCTCCCCAGACAGGGAGTCCATGATGGCCTGGAGCAGGTTGCAGACGGCCAGAGACGTCTCCTCATTCTCCACGGCCATGAGGCTGCAGATTCGGTCTATGCGGACTGCGTGCAGAATGGCTGTGGTCTGGACCAAGGCAGGAACCACAGTCAGCAGCCCTGCCCGTCCCTCTGGCTACCCCACTCCACACCATAGGGAAACGAGCCAGGAGCCAGGGCTCCACGGGGCCCACAGTCTCAGAATCCTTGCTTCAGAGACTCAGAGCAGTGCCGCCCAGTGCAGTAGCCCCTTACCGCAGGGGGCTGTTGTGCCCTTGCAATGTGACCAGATTCCACAGAGGTGTGCTGTCAGTGGATGCCAGCCACAGCCCTAGCCACCCACATGTCACCCTCAGGTCCTTGCACCTGCGGCCCTAGCACCAAGCACCCTCATCCCTGGGCCCTCACCCTAGCTTGGTGGCCACTGCACATGCCCGACAGGGTCCGCACAGCAGCCAGCACCAGCTCAGGCCTCTTGGTGTCCAGAAGCTGCAGCAGCAGGGCCACCCCATTGTTCTGGAAGATCCGCTCAGCCCCAGCCTCCTCCCGGCCCAGGACGATGAGGTTGTTGGCAGCCTGAGAAAGAGGCAGTGAGGGTCAGAGGCAGCTGTGACTGCAGAGCAGGTGCGATGACTGGGTGTTTGGAACGTGGCTGTCCTCTCCCTCCTTATAATGCCACTCCTGGAAACATAGCCCGAAAACATGATGCAGACGAAGTCAAAGTAACTTGATGAAAGGTACTGCAGCCATTCAAGTCACGGATCAAAAGACTTCAGAGCCACCCGGAGCAACACTGAGAAGCAGATTCAGCATCCTATACTCACTCTGATTAAGCTGGTGTTAAAATTACGTATACCTGTTTATGGTGATAAGGAAAACTTTTATAAATGGCAAAAACCTATAAAGTGTTACAATATAAAATGGCTTCTGCTGTCTCTAACAGCAGTTTGTTTTGTTTAGCCCAGAACTAACAGGCACCGAAGGCACTAATTGCTGACTGAGGCATTTGGTCTGACCCTGAGATAACGGGGCCCAGCAAGGTCTTGAGCTCTGATGAGACTGGAACCACCTGATCGTAAGAGTGTCTAAATGAAAGAACCCATTTTGCTCCCCTGACCCTGAACACCCGCTTCCTATGGGCTAGAATAGATAACTAGGTGAATCTTAAAGGTAAACTCCCCAACTGCAAAGAACTGTTACGTCTGGGTTAAAAAGATTAACTCTTCTGTGACCGTGATTTGAACTGTGAGAATGAAATGTAACCACCCAAATGAAGTCAAGGCTGTAAAACCCTATAAAAGGAGGAGTTGTAACCCAGTGCGTTGTCGATCCAGGTGCGCCTTATGAGTGATGGACCCTTATCAATAAGTAAATTTGTTATTTTACTTCCATTCTGCTGCCTCTCTGTGTGTCACTTACTGGTTCCTTCCGTAACAATGGGAGCCTAGAACAAGGTTGAGAAATGAAGAACTTCTACATAAAGAATCACTTTTCTTTCAAATGTTTCCTTTAGTACGAAGGCTCCAGCTTCAATCTTCAGGATAGAAAAAGTTTTATCTGTAATAACTCATTATGCCTCACAAGAGTTTGTTATATAAGATATTTGCATATCATGTGGATTTACTGACCAGAAAACCAGCAGCCTCCCCTAAGCATTGTCTGTCAAGTTCTTATAAATGCAAAACACTCAGATGTTCAATTTTTCTTCCTCTGAAGGTGGACTAGAAAGGACTAGGAAAAAAACGCAATAAATCTCATTTAAAAGATGACTGTCAGTAAATATTTTAAAATTTCAGAGCGACTTCTTTGTAATACTTCTAAATGAAATAGAACATTGTTTGAATGTATCGTTTCTCAGGGCTGAAATTATAGTGAGGCAAGTGAGGCATTCCCCTTGGGTGCAGAACTTAAGGAGACACCAAAAAAGTCATCTGGATAAGTAATATTTAATGCAACATTTTAAAAAATCAAAATTAATGCCGAAAATCCATGATGAATGAAACCCCCCCCTTTTTTTTCCTGGTACTGGGGATCGAACTCAGGACCTCGTGCTTGAAGGCAGGCAGAAGAACCACTTAGCTAAATCCCTGGCCCCCATAATTTTAAATAAAGACCGAATCCGATCCTGCTCCATGGCTGCTCACACCGTATCACTCTCATCTTGGTCCGACTCGCGGTTAGGTTTAGGCCAGTTTTCCTTCAGATTACGCAAAAACACGCACTCCCTCCATGGGCTCTCAACGAATCCCGGCGCAGAGGTCTAAAGAACGGACCTGAGGCGGGAGCCATCGGTCCGAGCACGCCCTCTGCTGGCCAGAACAGCGCGCCACTCACCTTTTCTCTCTTCTCCGTTTCACTGTTTTGGTCCAGGAGGATTTCAAACATTGTCTGTACCCTGGAGTCTGTGGAGAACTGCACGTGGAGCTGGAAAGAGAAAGGTGCAGCGAGGGGAGGAGGTCCGCATCGTTTTGGTCTGCTCATCTCATCTCAGTTAAATTTAGCATCTACTCTGAGCTGTAGTACATCGTTCATTTACTCATTAAGCAAACGTTAGCTGACCCAAGGCAGTGCTGAAGGAACAGTGTTGGCGACTCCGGGGATAGAACGGTGAGCAAAATCAAGCCCTCGCCCCACACAGCTCACAGTCTAGTTACATCCGTTGTCTCATTTGCTCATCACAGGGCTCTTGGAAGAGAAAGATCGTCAGCCCAATTTGAGAGTAAACAATCAGCTGATAGACATTTCCATAAGAACTAAAGCACAAATGTGTCTGCAGTTTCATAAACCGGAAGCGGCTTTCAAGCACCGCTTGGAGCCAATCAAAGTGACAGTGTCTGGATGCCCGACAGCGGCACTCACAGAGTGATTCCACCACTCTGGTCTTTCATGTGGTGACCTAACTGGTCATCTCACCAGCACTTTCTGTGCTTCCTATGGCTTAGTTCTGTTGGTCCACACTCCCGCCTCTGCCTGGCTCTCAGCCTTTGGAGTGGAGAGGCGCCACGTTCACCTGCCCCTCTCCGGTCTCTCCTTCCTCTGTTTCCTTGGCCCTGGTCAGAAGGCTGCGGTCCCCCACGGGGGACACACTGCAGACACGCTGGTGGTACTGAGCCAAAGGAGCAGTTGCCCTCTTGCTCACACAGGAGGAAACCGACACTCCTGGGGGTCCCTCAGAAAAGCAGGGGCTGAGCCAGGATGAGGATGTGGGATTCCACACCTCTGGTCCACACTCTGCCCACCCTGCTCCACCTTCCTGGAGGAGACATCATGTTCCCCCTGGCTCCTGACCCCTCTGTCCCTCATCATTGTCCCTTGACTCCCACATAGCTCATGTTGCCTTTGTCCTCCTCTAAAAAGAGGATGACCGTGTTGGAGAGATACGACATTCTAGCCCCAGCTGACATGTGCCATCTAACAGCACCCCATCTCCTGTCAGTCTCTACAGGGACACGCACCCGTTCAGCTGTTCCACAGAGGCTGCACGTGCCATTTGCTGACCCCAGCTCAGAGTGTGGAGGCAGGGCCAGCTCCTTCCCGATGCCCACATCCCTACCAGGTCTCCATTAGAAATGGGAGGGGGTGACAAAGGTTAGTGGGAAGGGGTCCCGCTCACCTTCTCCTGGATGCTGGTGTTGAGTCTCCTCAGTGTCTCCTGGAAGTTCTGGTTCCTTGGTTCGAGGGTGGCACAGCGCTGCACGTCCTTGAAGGCCTGGTCCAGCTTCCCCAGGTGCTCGAGGGCCTGGCATCGCCGATACAGAGCCTTGATGTCTGAAGAGTTGATGTCGATGGCTACAGAGGGACACAGGCCAATTCTCAGCGGGCTTCCTCACCCCACCTCACCTGTCCTGATCACACGAGGACTACCTGGCCTATCCCTTTGGTGGGGAGACAGTAAGATCCAGAGTCTGAAGATTGCAAGAGAGTTAAGCATCATCTCACCAATTTCTGAGGCTCCATTCTCTGCTACAGGATCCTTGCCAAGGGCTCATCTGATTGGTGCTTTCATCCCCCCAGCAATGGGGAGCAACCCTCCTTTTCCAGGCAGCCGGAAGTGCTATCAGAAAATCCTTCCCTCTTCTTACCCAAAATATACTTCATGTAACTTTATCTTTTTACACGTGTCCTTTGTCCTTTTATCCTAAGTCCAGCCCTGGATTTAGAGATGAAACCCAATCCTTCCTCCTGAGACAGTCTTTTAGGTATTTGGAGAAAGTTCTTGTCCCACCTGGGAGGTGTGAGGAAAACTGACTGTGAATGCTTAAATAAAATGTATTTATTACAGTAATAGACATATTGCCATAACCCCTCTCAAATACTCCTCTCGCTTTGAACACACTTATCCCATAACTCTTGCCACATTCGGAGCAGCTCTGGAAGTCCTCTTTCCTAAGTGTCGTTATGAGTTGTGACCAAAAATACAGTGACTGCTACTGCCAAGTGCCATCCAAAAGAAAGGTGGACTCACCAAAATATTACCGTATGTCCTTGTCCTCCTTATCTATTGGACATGGGGCAGTGAGACTTCTGTGTCTTCCTTGAAGTCCAAATGACCAGGAAAGGGAAATATTTTGAACCAATGCATGATGTTGAGGCAGCCACAATAGCACAACTAATGGCAGTCATGAAAGAGGACTTCCAAAACTGCTTCAGAAAGTGGCAAAAGCAATGGGAAAAGTGTGTTTGAAGCGAGGAGTATTCGGAGGGAATTAATGTCAGCCTGTCTTTTACTGTAATAATTTTTAAAATTTAAACATTCTCTATATTTTTAATCACACCTTGTATTGTGCCTTCTTTCAACTGCTCTCTGCAGAATGTTTCCTGCCCCTTCTCCGGCTGCTTCCCTCTCTTCTGAGCCTACCTTAGACAATATCATTGCTTCTCAGCAAACAAACAAAGAAATAACAACAACAAGCCAAAAAACAAAAAGCCAGCACAGCCCATGCTGGGAGAACGTGTGGGTCAAGTCAGGACAGGGGCTGCTCACCTCTTGAGGCATCTGAAGCTGCCTGCGCGTAACTCTCCTGAGAAACAAGGAAGAAGGGGACGCAGTCAGTGGGGCCCAGTACAGAGAGCAACACTGAGCGCCACAGCAGAGAGCAGAGGGCTTTGCAGGGAGCAGCAGGCTGTGAGAGACCCAGTGCACCCCAGCCAAGCATGCTACCAGGCTTCGGTAGCAGACAAACTGGGGTTCAAACCTGGCTCTGCGGCCGCCTGGAGGGACCTGAGCAGGTTAACCCAGCCCTCTGAGCCTTGTACTTCTTGCCTACAATATGGACTTGTCACAGTCGTTACCTCTCAGGGACGATCTTAAAATGCCAAGAAATAATGCAAAAAGCAGCGGGGGCCAGGCTAGTTCTGACTGGGATGAATTTCTGTCTCCCCAGAGAAATGGGTCAGGGGACAGGAAGCCCCCTTCTCCAGCCTCGGGCTCAGGAGCAGTGCCTGTGACCACAGTCCATTCCTGTCAGGACAGGTGGCCCCCACAGCCCTGAGTACCTCTCCCACCCCAGAGAGCCCCCAGCCCATATCCTGCTTGCTGTGCCCCAGACCATTTTCAGGCCACAGGCGGCCCGGTTCCGATAGAGCGTGGCCAACAGCGCCTTGTCCTTGGTCAGCTTCAGGGCCTGGCTGTAGCTCTTGATGGCCGCTTTGTAGTCCTGGCGCTGGAAATGCCGGTTCCCTTCCTCCTTCAGCTGCGCCGCTTCCACCTCTGCCATCTGTCGGGACAGAGCAGCTCCTTCTGGTCAGCCCGACGCCCAGACCCAGGGCGGAGCTCCAGATCCACCAGGGGGGAGGGGAGGGATCCTGCCTAGAAGGGACCCACCCCCAACAGCCCCAAGTCCTGAAGCACATTACAACACTGGTGTGGAGCTTGGTCCCGCTGAGGGGTGTCAGCGTCCCTGGACTACTTCTCTGTCCTTCCCAGCCCGGGGTGGGTGAAGCCACCACACAGAGGCCTGAGCTCCCGTCACAGACCTGAAAGTTCTCAGCACCTCCTCCCCGCCCGGTCCCCGGACCATCTCACCCTCTCAAGCAGGGCCGCTTCCTCTCAATGCTACGCCTGAGCTTTTACGTCCACGTCCACGTAGTCCGGCAGCCTCAGTCTCCCCTCCCACCCCACCCAGGAGACTTTATCAGCCCAGCCAGGGCTCCATACCATATTTGGCCACAGGGGCAGGTGTCCCTGCAGTCTATCATTGCACTCAGGGCCCTGCCCCTCCCTAGAGTGGACAGGCATGGCCACGTGGCGGTGCTGGCTGTCCTCTGCCCCTTGAGCACCCTGCCTGGGGTGAGGGTGGGGGTGCTCTCTGCCCCGCATCCTCCAAAGACTGAGAGAAAGATCCAGAAGAGACAGACAGGAAGCCCCAGCAGACCCCCTCCCTAGGCAAAGCTATAATGCCCCTTCTGCACCTCCATCTCAGAAAAACGAGCTCCTCCCCTCTCCCCCGCTATTTTGGGAGCAGAGTGACAGCTGAGGGGCAAGCGGACTCGGACACAGAGCAGCTGCCCAGGTCTCCAACCAACTGGAGACTTCTAGAAGTGTCCTTGGGGAGGGAGGGGGAGGCGAGGGGTTGGAAACTTCCCACTCCCATTGGTACTTGCTCCCTCCGAAACTTGCACCTCCATGTTCGGTTGTTGAAAATGTCCTCACTTTTCAGGAAGACCAACAGGACTTGCTACCTCAGTGCAGCATGAGAGGGTTGCCCTTTGGGTTTTCATGTTGTCCCCTGCCCTCCCTCTCTGTGCCTGAATTTACTAGTCAAAGCCCCCCACATCTGACTGGTGGCTTCCTGAGGGTGGACTGTTTCTCCCCATCCAGCTGAAATCTCCTGGGCTGGAGACCAAGGACTGTACCTCACACACACACACACACACACACACACACACACACAGGGAACACTCCTGGGACCTGCAGGTTTCCCTCATCAGAAGAGAGTCTTCCTGGGCAAGTGCGTTCATCACAGAAGGGTCTGTTGGGGGGCAGACGCTGCTTCTCTTCAGCCAATGGAGGGGTCCCAAGGCATAGTTACAAGATTGTCCTCACTGGACCCAGCCAAGTCTCCTGCCTCTCGGAGTCTCCAAGTCTGGTCCAGGATCTTCCCCCCAGAGGCAAGGACAGTTACTCTGGCAGCCTGGCTCCTTTGGGGAAAGACAGCCTGGCAGAGTCAGTGCATGGTGTGTGTTTTATGAATGAAAGAAAGAATGAATGAATGAATAAATGTATGGCCTCTTCATGCTGATGCTTTGCTTAAGTCACCTCTATTCCTCCCCATTGTGTATATATCTCCAAATTTATCTAAAAGACCCTAAAAAAGATGCATAGATTATGTTCACACTAGATTATGCTCCCCTCTCTTACTTTGGACATGTGGACACACAGTTATGTGACCGTTTGTACTTCCCTGCTGAGCATAAAGCTTAGCTTAACATAGGTTTTGTTTTGAGACCGGTCTTGCTATGTTACCCAGGCTGACTTCAGACTCCTGGGCTCAAACAATCTTCCTGCCTCAGTCTCCCAGTTGAGTAATTCATTCCACAAGCATTTCTTTTTTTTTGGTACCAGGGATCGAACTCGGGTCCTTGTGCTTGCGAGGCAGGTAGCAGAACCACTGAGCTAAATCCCCGGCCCTACAAGCATTTCTTATATGTACCAGGAACCAAGAATGATAATGGAAGCAGGGAACACTCACAAGGCCCAGGAGTTTTTGTTTTTTGTTTTTTGGTTTTTTGAGACAGGGTCTCACTATGTAGTTCAGACTGCTCTGGAGCTCACTGTGTAGCCCAGGCTGGTCTCAAACTTGCAGTGATCCTCCTGCCTCAGCCTTCTGAGTGCTGGGATTATAGACGTGCACCACCTCACCCGGCAAGGCCCAAGAGTTTTGTCCAATTCCCTTACGTATTCCAAGTGTCTATAACAGTGTGTGGTACATACTAGGTGCTCAGTAATATTAGTCAACTGAATGAATGGGTCAATTCCATGGATCTGTGACTTCTAAATATGAGAAATAATAGGATGTTTGAAAGCACAAATCAGGGAATGTGATGTTTTGGAGAAAGCTTTCCTGAGTGAGAAATGAGTTAATATAAGTAGAGTTCCAAGAACAATGTCTGGGAGAGAGAGCAGGTGGTCAATACATTTGTTGGATGGGTGGATGAATGTTTCTTGTTTTGTGTGTGTGTGGGGGGTTGTTTTTTTGGTACCGGGGATTGAACTTGGGTCCTTGGGCTTTCGAGGCAGGCAGCAGAACCACTGAGCTAAATCCCCAGCCCGATGGGTGGATGAATGAATGAATACGTAAGGAAAGTCTGGAGGAATGAGGATCTGTTTCTGAATTAGTGGCTTGGGCTGCCATAACGGACTTCCACAGGTTTGGAGGCTTACACAGCAGACATTGACTTTCTAGCAGCTCTGGAGTTGAGAATCCAAGATCATGGTGTCATCAGTTTTGGTTTCCAGTAAGTTCTCTCTCTTCTGCTCGAAGACAGTCACTTTCTCCGTTCACAGAGCCCCTTCTCAGTGCGAGCTCAGAGCGCAGGTGGAGGTGAGGAGAGAGAGGGAGAGGCAGAAGGAGTAAGAAAGTGCTCTAAAGTATGTCTCTCTTATGAGGGCACCAACTCCGTCTGATTGGGGTCCTACTTTTAAGACCTTGTTAACCTTTACGGTCTCCTTATAGGACCTGTATTCTTTGACCTATGCATTTAGGGGAACATGGTTCAGTCCCTAACTGTCTCAGACAGAGAATACTGTATGGCAAAGGCCCAAATTCAGGAAGAGCCCGGAAAATGCCAGTGGGATTTGATCTTCAAGAAAGGTGGCTGGAGACTGCAAGGCTGAGTGGGCTGTAAAGGGAGCCATGCCAGAGCATTGGGGGAAAAATGAGTAACAGATCAGGTTTGGAGTTGAAAAGATCTGCATGGAGAGTGGATGAGGGGAAATGGGAATGGAGACAGAGTGACAGTGACTCTGTCATTCAGTGCAGCCATCGCGTTGAAGAGCATGGACCCGCACTTGTCATTGAGGCAGAGATGACAGCGCTTCTGACTGCTTGGGGATGGAGAGCCAGGGACAGGAGCGTTGCTGTGGAAGATCCCAGGTGTCCCACAAGGGAGCTCACATTCCTGCTATCTGTGTTGGTTCCTCATCCGCAACATGGGGAAAAAAAAAAGGTTGTTGTGAGAATTAAATGAGTTACGTGCGTAACTCCCTTTGAATCCTGCCTGACACAATGCTGCCACTTTTTCGTAGTCCATTTTTGCGGTACAGGATGATTACACTCATCCTAGGGAACTGGTACATATACATAACACATACTCTGAATTCTTTTTACACCCCTTCCCCTCCTTCGTCTCTTGGCACAATGCTATCATGACCACGATTCTTATTCTCTACGGTGTTGACAACTGTAGAGATCGACTGTTCCTGTGCTCATCAAATATTATTAATTGGACCCATCTTCTTAAAGAATAATCGTTTCTGCTCTCAGGAGAAACTTGGTTCCTGGCTTTATAAGTCACTCTGCGGGGTGATGCTGCCTGGACCGCAGCCCATTAGCCTCTGTCTGGCAAGTGAATTAACCACTCAGCTCCTCAGTTTCCTCCTCCATGAAATGAGGCAAGAACCGCTATTGGGACGGCATCCTAGGCACACAGGTATTAATGAAGTAATCAACAGGGCACAACCAGAGGCCGGGAGCGGCGTGACTTCCCCCCTAACGCTAGAGGGCGCTATGGCCATTGGCGAACCCCGTGTGACACGGAGGCGGCGCTCTGCCCGTCTGGAACCTTTCTGCTCCACGTGGGGACGCAAAATGGCGGCAGAGGTTGCGGTGGGTGTGAGTGGATGGGGAAGGGCGCCAGGGCTGGGCGCCGGGCCGGGTCCCAAAGGCTGGAGGGAGGCTAAGCGGGGACCTAACGGTCGGGCGGCAGGGCTGACGGCCGCCCCCCTGTTCGCGCAGGACGAGGCGGCGGCGCACGACGTGCAGCGGCTACTGGTGCAGTTCCAGGATGAAGGCGGGCAGCTGCTGGGCTCCCCGTTCGACGTGCCGGTGGACATCACCCCAGAGCGGCTGCAGCTCGTGTGCAACGCGCTGCTGGCGCAGGTGAGCTGGTCCCGGGGCGACCGGGAGACCAAGGGACTGGGGTTCCAGGTCCCCCGTGTTCAGGGACAAGGGCGGCCGGCCCAGCCTGCGTCCCCACCCACCTCCCGGAAAGGACAGGAGATGGAAACAGCGCGAAAGCGCCTTTAACGCTGGCCTTCAGGTCCCGCTGCGGAGAGGCAGCGTTTTGAACCTGTTGAGTGCGGTGGTTCCCTGAGTCCTAGTCACAGCCTTCAAGAGGGGACACTAATATCCCCGTGTTACGGCGTGGCCTGAATGTTAAATTATTAGCTTAGTGCTTACTGCTACTTTGGAACCGGAACCAAAATCTGTCAGCCTCAAAATCCGAGCTTTTAACTTTTAAGCCGGTGTTTGTGAAGGGCTGCAATCTGTTGAGGTGTGCTTCAAATGCGGCTCCTGGACTCCACCCGACCTAAACGCACGTTTGTTGAGTGAACAAAGGAAGGAATGGCTGTGCTTATTGTAACCCAGACCCTAAGCCCCACTTGTAGAGCAAGCAGTGAGGTGATATTAAAGGATCTCACTGTTAACAGAGAACTATGATTCTGTGACCTTAGGACCAAGGGATCCTAGATTCAGCTCCTGATTCAGTAATTCATCACACAGCCATTTCTTATATATCCAGAGTATCTGCATTTTTAACCAGCTTCTTGGCTGCTTCTTACACAGCTACAGCGTGATGTGGTGTAAACACTTCATAATGTTATATGCTAGCCCTAAATCTCTACATTACTGTCCTTTTTGAAGAACACCGAAGAACCTAAATTAGTCATTAGCAACAGGACATTGAAGGAGTTGCTCTGAGCCCGTTTTTTAATCCATCAAGTGGGGAATATTAATATCTCCTTCCCAGGATCGTTATGAAATGCAAATAAAGGGTTTCAGGTCACGGAAATGTCCTGAGATTGCTCTCCAAGAATTAAAAAGGTCTTGCCCGATGGGGAATCATGGGGTCATCCCAAGCAGGATGGCTGAAAAGAAGACAG